GGGGGGCTCGGTGCCTCTGTGCCCACAGCTCCCTTTGCCTTGCTCTCGTTCCAACGTTCCCAGAGATATATGTTTTGGAAGCAGCTTATTATTTTCAGAAGAAGATCACCCCTCACCTGACTCAATCTGACAGTAACAGAGCAATTTCCATGTTACTATTATGTTGGAAGGTATGCCACCAATGTTTTACTAGGCTCACTCATGGTGGGCAGATTTCAACAACGCTTCTCGTCCAACGGTTCTCAACCTGTGGGCCGCAACTCCTTTGGGGGTGGAACGACCCTTTCACAGGGGTCACCTGACTCATAACAGTAGCAAAATGACAGTGATGAAGTAGCAACAAAAATAATTTTATGGTCGGGGGTCACCACAACATGAGAGACTGTATTAAAGGGTTGTGGCATTAGGAAGGTTGAGAACCACTGTTCGAGTCTAACACAAATGTGGAAGAAAGGCCTCAGCTACTTCCAAAAATTAGCCAATGAAACCCCATGAATCACACCAGATGATTGTGTGACTGACGCACTTGCTTTAGACATGCGTGTCATCAGAGGGCTCAATCACTGGAGGAAGTCATGTTCAGTGGTGCACAGAGCCAGCGTTAGGTGGAACATGCTGGTGATTACGAGGATGACAGAGGACCAGGCAGTGTTTCGTTCTGTCCATAAAGTCAGCAGGAGTCAGCAGCTACATAATTCTCTGTAAAAGTCTTACCTCCTGATTGTCACTACAGATAGAATAACTCTTCTCACATATATTCAGATATTGGTAAATCATTTCATTTAAAAGCAGTGTCTGTCCCTGTATCATGGCTCACATAGCAGAAATCATCACTTGCTTCTGGGAATGTGGTGTTGCAGTAGTAAAGGATATTGACTTTACTTCTTTCAGGTCTGTGACGCGAAGTTATTACAGAGGTGCAGCCGGGGCCCTCCTTGTCTATGACATTACCAGGTAATGCACATCCCATCCTGGAAGTGCCGCTCAGCACTCTGCTTCCCACAGTCAGCACTTGGGTTTCAAGATGTTAGAGCTCCCTGGGCATCTGCTTGAGCATGTGTGTGTGCAGGGGTGGGCCGCATTCCAAGCATTCAAGAAACCACCGGACCCATCCATTCTGTCTTAGATGTCTTTCAGCCAGCAGCTCCCTCTGCTTTACCATGTAAAGAAATACGGCTGTAGGCTTTCTCTAAGAATAGTGGTCCTCAGTGTTTCATTGCATTTTCTAACGTGAAGCTTCGACACTATTCTTAAAGCTCAAAAAGCAAAGCTCTATATCTGGTAAGGTTTCAGAAGGGCATTGAGAGAGGTACAGGGCGCACACTGAACCAAGGCCGCCTGGGTTTAAATCCCAGTTCTACTGGTTACTGACTGCGTGACCTGCCTTCCTTGGGCAAATTACTTGACCTGTCTAGGCCATAGTGACCTTATCTATAAAATGAGGATGATCATGAATATAATCCTCCTGAGACTTTGGATGAAAGCACTTAGCACATTACAAACATCAGTCTGCACTGCCCATTATGGTAGCTATTATCCATGTACCCATGGCCATTGAGTCTATTCTAACTCATAGTGACCCTATAGGACAAAGTAGAGCTGCTCCCTAGGATTTCCAGTGCTCTAAATACTTGCAGAAGCAGACCACATCTTTCTCCCATGAAATTCCTGGTGGACTTGAACTGTCAACTTTTTCGTTGGCAGCCAGGTGCCTTACCCACACAGTACTACTAAGACTTGCTTATTAGCCATAAAGGAGTACTGTCTATAAATTAAATAAATATAGATAAAACAAATCTGGTTTTTTGTCACACGTGAACAGTGGCTGCCTGCCTGCTGTGTTGGACAGTACGATGTTCAAACACCCATCCTTGCAGAAATTTCATCAGACAGTGCTGCTCGAAGTGTCCATGCACCACATCCTAGAAACATGTAAGACCAGCTCAGACTCGCTCCCTCGCCCTTCTGAGCAGGAACCTGTACAGGGAGAGAATGTTGTCCTTGCCACGTCCTTCTGTCATCTGTATGTTCGGAGCTAGGCTCTCTGTAAAGGAGGAAGGCAGCTCCTGGCCCTGTTGCACCCAGGCCTCATTCAGTGAGAGACTCAGCCTGCTAAATTGTGAAGTATACTTCATCTACCAAAGTGTGTTGTGATATGAAATGTGTCTGTAAATGTTTTAAAAGGCGAAAACCAAATCCAGCGTCATTGAGTCCGTTCTGATTCATTGTAACTACAGAGCTGAAGCAAAACTGCCCCAGCGGGTTTCCTAGATTGTAGTCTATACAGAAGTAGATTGCCACATCTCTCCCAAGAAGCAGCTAGGGGGTTTGAACCTCCTGCCTCTCGCTTATCAACTGAGCGTGTAATCACTGCACCACCAGATCTCCTTCCTGAAATACATGTCAGAGCAGAAAGTCACAATCAGTCCTGTAGACAGGCAGACCTGAAAAAGGCCTGCCCAACCCTGGCCTCTGTGACTTTAAGCCATTTAACTTATTTCTCTGGATTTCTGGTTTCTCATGTTAAAAGGAAATAACAGAATCTGTGTCATAGAGAGTCTATGAAGAATCCATGTGATCAGTTCCTGTAAAACAATGTACTACTGTTGTAAGGATTCGTTTAGTGGCAGCAGTGAGTGACTAAGTCCTGCCTGCCCAGATTCCAGCACTGTGCCTTGCACACAGAGCTCAATAAATGCAAGTTAGACATATACCCATGGGGTGGGTAGAAGGACGTGTGTAGAGGGGCATCGTGAAGTGGGCTGGCATTGAATTTATGATGTCACTGAAGAATCGGTGTGGCGCCTATGAGTGCTGCACCCGGCGAGCCACTGTGTAGCTTTTAGACCCCAAGTCACCTCTCAGCCTTCCAGACTATGGCTGAGGGTCCGTGCCTTCCAGGAGACTGGGCTATGGGAACGCTGAGCTATAGCTGCTCCGCTCCATTGCTCAGAGCCTTTGATTCTGACCTGGTCTGCCCCGAGAATGCAGTCCACCGAGAGGCAGCTAGCTGTATGTGCAAGTATGTAAACCCTAAGGCAGTCTAGGCGGGAGTTCTTTGATATATGTGTATCAAACATAAGTACTATTGAGGGGGCTTCAAAATCTTGGGAAAATGGAATTGAAGTATAATGGAATATGTAGGAACTTTTTGAAGCCTCGTCTTATAATATGTTATTGGTGTAATGTCCAAATTCCATAACATCTTAGGAGCCCAGGAGGCACTCTCGAGTAATCTGCTAACCACAGGTGGATATTTATAAGCCACCAGCTGCTCGGAGGGAAAAGATGACGCTGTCCGCCCCTGTAAAGACTGACAGAGCCTCAGAAACCCTATGTGAGGCCACTGTGAGTCAGAGTCAACTTGATGGTTGTAAGTTTGGTTGTTTGGTATTTTTTATCATGGATGTTAAATGATAACGTACCTGTATTTGTAACATGAAGGAGCTGCTGTTGATTTCATTTTGTACCCTGATTGTGTAAACAAATAACAGAATATCTGCCTCAGTTTTCTGGAAACAAAACAAAACAAATCCTATATGTGTATACCTGGTGCATGCCAGCTACTGAGTTACCGGCGCAGTTCTGGTGGCATTACCCTAACATGTCTGAAAACGAGAGTGAGTGGTGTGATTGCCTGGAAATGATTGCTAGTTATATAAAATACATATATTATTTTCACAATCTTATATTACACAGCCGAGAAACCTACAATGCGCTTACTAATTGGTTAACAGATGCCAGAATGCTAGCCAGTCAAAACATTGTGATCATCCTCTGTGGAAACAAGAAGGATCTGGATGCAGATCGTGAAGTGACTTTCTTAGAAGCCTCCAGATTCGCTCAAGAAAATGGCAAGTGACCTTCTGCCTCACTTTTTCCCCTCTCTCTCTTTCTTCAGATGGCAGCTTTGTGAATTAGGAACATTTCTTTCCAGTTTTAAACATGTAGTAAAGATTCAAGATTAAAAATCATTTGGGACATATGGAACGTTGATTATTCTTACTGTGAATTTAGACTTATTTGCATCTTCAGTATATTTTCATGCTGTTTTATAAAAGTTACTATAATGAAAAAAAGCACTATAATGGTATATTATTACTCTAACTACTTTCTAAATGAGAAACTTTGAATATAGGAGTCTTGAATTAAAGTGAAATTTATAACAGTTTTAAAAGGCTCAATCTAGATAGCATCTTTTTTATTTGTAATGTAATTTGAAGCAAGTTGATGAAATTAGAGGCTTAGTTGCTTTATTTTATTTACATTAAGTTTGAGTCATTTATAGGTACATTTGAAATTCACTCCTCTGAATTTGCATGTAGAGTACATTAGAATGCCACAAAGTGAACGGTTTCTCATAAATAGAATGATAAAAATTCAGACATTTAAATAATTTTAGAGCCAAACAATAATATTCTGGTATCGGTCACTACTTGAACTCCAAATTGTGTTTGAACACGTTGGCTACTTTTCTGCTAAGAAATAAATATGAACGAAAAGCATAAGCCTTATGAAAGTTTGTAAAGAAGCTGTTCAGAAATAATAAAAAACACAGAACATCAAAGTTCCAAAGGAATTCAGACATCACTAAATTGAACCTCATTTTTTTTTTTTAATTGAACCTCATTTTTACAAGTGAAAGGACCCCTGCACCATAGTGGTTACGTGTTGGGTCAGCAGTTCAAAACCAACAGCCGCTTTGAGGGATAAAGATGAGGCTTTCTACCCCATAAAGAGTTACAGTCTGAGAAACCCACAGGGGCAGTTCCACCCTGACTTCTAAGGTCGCTATGAGTTGAAATTGATGAAAAATCAGTTTGTTTGGTTTGGGTTTTACTAGTAAGAAAACAGCAGGTTAGAAAGATGATGGTTTGCCTGAGATAACAAGCAGAACAGACCATTCTGATGATAATTGATTAGTATCCACCCTGATGGATAGGGAAAGTACTAATTCTTTATGAGATTTCTTCAAAATCAGAATGACATGCCGAACCCAGAATTCCCAGACTGTATATAATCTTCATTATATTTGTGGTGCTATACAAATTATTTGGAGAATGTTTCTTTCTCATCGTAAAATCGAAAACTTGGCTTTTTTTTTTTTTTTACCAGTCTGCCCCCTAGTATCTCCAGGTAACTCAGCCTGTGAAAGTGTTACCAGTACTCATGCAGTTTCTTAAACAGATTAAAGTGCTAGCATAAGATGGTAGTTATTTCCAGAAAAGATTATCAATTTTCTAAACATTAAAGAAAAGTTGACTGTATTTATTCTACATTAACAAAAATTATAGGGTTTAGGTCATAAATTTCATTTAACTTGCAAGTTTAAGAGAATATTAAACAGATTCTAGTAGATCAGAAATATGATCATCTTCTAAATCTGGCTATTGTGTTTGATGTCAATTTTAGAGCTGATGTTTCTGGAAACAAGTGCACTAACAGGGGAGAATGTAGAAGAAGCCTTTGTGCAGTGTGCAAGAAAAATACTGAACAAAATTGAGTCAGGTAAAAGGCTTTCCATTACTTGTTTATATTTTCAAGAGTTATTTGCTCAGAGAATCCTGTGTGAACTGAAAATTGTCATTTATTTAAAGGTAATGTTCATGTACTTGCAGTGAAAACTTATGTGATTGCCACATCAGCAATGAAAAGGGTGGATAATCAATGTTTTGGATAGTGTTTTTTTACAGCTCCCAGCTTTTTTAATTCATCACATAAAGGAAGTGTCTGTGTGTACCTTTATGCACTCTCTTTCAACAACATGCTTACTCTGTTATCCTGTGCATAGTCCGAGGGTCATTTATGTGATATTAAAAGGGTTATCGAAAATTGTGTGATGCTGCCAGATGGAGGTTGACCATTGTAGAACTATGCAGTCAAGTACTATTTTTAGTTCTGAAGCTATCTGATCCTGTCTAAATTACAATCTTCCTTGTTATGGTTTTATGTTTGTTGTTCCAGTAAAGTAAAATTTAAAATAACCCTTAACAGGCAGCTGACAAAGCCCTATGTAGTTGCCATTTATCAAAATTGTTTTTAATTTAAATGATCCCCAAATTTCAGGTGGGCATTTGTCTTTTAGTTGGTGCACTCAAACATCTGAGTGTCCACTGTTTCATTAGCACTGGCCTGCCAACCACAAGGTTGCAGTTTAAACCCACCAGCTGCTCTGCAAGAGAGAGAAAGCTGAGGCTGTCTGCTCACGCCAGTCCCAGAGACCCAGAGAAGCAGTTCTCCTCTGCCCTATAGGGTCCCTGTGCGTCCAAATCGGCTCAGCGGCAGTGGGTTTGGTTTGTTTGTTTGTTTGTTTGTTTATAGTATTCAGAAAAGAATAAATAACTACAATGTGCTATGTAGATTCAGTGATTGAGAGACACCGGATCTTATGGTGGCCCAGAGAAGGGCTGCTAGTTCATCCATCATTGTGGAGAGGAGAGGACGTTCAGGAAGGCATGCTGACTGAGCTGGATCTTCTGAAAGAAAAGGAAGAGGAAGCACTTGAGCCAAGAGGACAGCCTGAGTTGAGACAAAGAATACGAAAAAAAGTTTGTAGTTAAGGTGTTTTTTGACACCAGTGCTCCATAAACGTAGCCGTCGTCATCAATATATCGGAACAGATGTGAGGAGGAATGTGAGCTAGATCATAGAGTCCCAAACTTATTTGGCCTTTTCAGAAAACAATGTACTCCTTGCTCCCCTGGCAATGAGGTCGTTTTGTCTGTAGCCCCTGATCCAGGGTAAAGTCTAGGTACCGGCTAGTTCTGCCCACTTTGGGAAGCACTGGTCTAGAGAGAAGAGCAGTGGATTGAGGACAAAGCCTGGGAAAGGTGAGCAGAGGAAGGGGTGTATAAAAGCGACAGGGACGGAAATGGTCGTGCGTGTGAAGAGAACCAGGAAAAATAGGGTCATTTAAACCACAATTTGCAAAGAATCAGTTCATTATCGAATGCAATGGAAACCCTATAAGCTGGAAAGTATCCACTGCGGTGGACCACAGGACGTCATTGGTTATCTTTACTAAGAACAATTGCAGTAGAATTAGGAAAGCAGACGACACATTGTCCTCAGATGAGAAATAGATGATCATTGGGGTCAGCTTCAGTTCGTGACGACCTTGTGTGGGACAGAATGGACATGGTTCTTGGTAGGCTTGGCTCCATTGCTGCGGCTGTTGTCTCAGTCCAATGGAGGGCTTCCTTCATTTTCACTGCCCTTCTCCTGCCTCCTACAAGGGATTTTGTTGTTGTTGTTTTGTTGTTCTTGTGGAAGTCCACGGTTTATTTCCTTTTTACCTTCACCCACCATAATTTGAATGCATCAATTTTTCTGTCTTCCTTTTCCATTGTAATACAGGGTTGATTTAAAGGAGGGCTTGAGCATGAACTAAAGTACACCTCGTGGATTTTAGTATAAATGATGAGGGATGGGGGCTAGGGGGAGATGAAGGAGAGAATGACCAGGAGAGGGGAAGACAGTTCAAGTAGGATGCTTGGTGAGATAGGAAGAAGGAAGAGTCAAGAGGCTAGATCAGCAGGTCTCAACCTGTGGGTCGCTACCCTCAAATGACCCTTCCACAAGGGTCACCCAATTCATAACAGTAGCAAAATTACAGTTATGAAGTAGCAATGAAAATAATTTTATGGTTGGGGATCACCACAACATGAGGAACTGTATTGAAGGGTCGCAGCATTAGGAAGGTTGAGAACCACTGGGCTAGATGGAAGGACACTTTATTCTTTTGAATATTTTCAGTCTGCAAACAAGAATAAATTTACTAAACTTGCTATAAGAATTATCACTTTTGAAGAATCTGTAATCTTTAGCATTAAAATTGGTTTAATTTTGAATATTCAATTCAAAATGAATGAGGTTTTATTAGATTACCTCACTGCTTTACTACAGATACATTGACCCTTTCAAGATATACAAGGGAGAGTTTCAAAAGATTCATGAAAAAATTGTGTTGTTTTTCAGTTCCATTTTTCCACAAATTTTTGAAGCTCCCCCTTCCCTATTTTTTCTGAGACAAATTTATAATTACGTCTAAGTGAAAAAATGGAAGGTTACAAGTTAGCACTTTTAATTAGTACTAATTTATTTTAAATATTTAAATAGGCGGTACATTAACATGGTTCAAAACCATCATTCTCCCCTCTTTGTATGTGTGCATGTGTTTATAGTGTATAATATGATAATATTTCACTATGTGGATTATCACAATTAATTTAACCAAATGTCTATTTGGACATTTGGTTATTGAAAGATAATGGAATTTTCCCACAAACCGCTGCGGGCCCAAAGAAAAGCACATATTTGAATATAGATAGTTTGCCATATTGTCTCCTCTCATGGATATAGCGATTTATATTCACACTAGTAAAGAATGAAAGTGAGTCTACTAAAGCTTTGCCAACAGAGTATATGGTCTTAAATGAATTTTTGCCAAACTGATAAGGAAAAGATCATTTATGTCTCTAGTTTTAATTAAATGAATTGTGTATATATAATATATTCATATAGTTTCCAGTTCTAAAGAGTGTATTCTAAAAATGTGGGTTTCATCACCACCCCTCCCGGTTCCCTAGCCGTCCCAAACCAACCGTTGGCGGTTCTTTCTGTGTCCTCGCAGAGGAAGTATGTGAGAGCAATAAGGGTTGTCCTACAAGAATTTCAATGGAAAATCTTACACCATACACCCTAAAACCCCGATCTTTCCCCTTCTGACTTTTTGTCAAACTCAAAGAACGTTGTAAGGGAACACTATTTAAAGTCTCTTAAGATGCCAAAAACGGTCATTTTGCCATTGTATGAATTGAAGAGTACAGAAATGTTGACGGAAGGGTTTACTGCCTTTAGCCAGATTTAGATGGAAGCTATGTTTAGAGACAATAATTACACATTTTGATATTTTTGTTTAATAAAGATTTCTATAACGATTTTTAGCAATACTTTTTGACTTGCTGTTCACTGAAGCATAAAAACTTTTTCTTTTTTTTTTCATATAAATATTTGGTCCTCAGGTGAACTGGATCCAGAAAGAATGGGCTCCGGTATCCAGTATGGAGACGCTGCATTGAGACAGCTCAGGTCTCCCCGTCGAGCACAGGCCCAGAGTGCTCAAGAGTGTGGTTGTTGAAAGGCACGTCTGGGGCAAGCAAGGTGAGTGCTGGCAGTTTGAAATAGCTGGTGCCCTTCACCCCCACTCCTCAGGCTCTAAAATAATTCATCATATGGATAACTCTAGAAGCTGTGTTAGAGATTTTTCCAGGTGTATTATGAGAAATAGATGGGACTCTATAATTTAAAATTAGATCATCTGAAAATATTAGGAAGCTTTTCTACTTTTGTTTCAGAAAGAAAGGAAGGGTGGTTGCTGGTGATGGTTGAGAATAGATTCTTTGGCTGTTGAGATTTCATGGGTCATTAAAGTCTAAGTGAACGTGCCTTTTGTGAAATAGGAGGCCCATTTATAAAATTTGCAAGGGGAGATTTTAACTTTTAAAAGCTCTTGTTTTGTCCCCCATTTACCACAGTGAACTTTTTTTTCTTCTTTTTTTTTTTCCACAGTGAACCTTTTATAGGCAATAGTATATAATAGGCATACATATAAATACTAAGTAGAAGATGGTCATATTATTTCATTCCCTTTTGGTCTATAAGCAACTTATTTTTACATTAGTAATTATACACATTTCTAATTTTTTCTTAATATTTTTTAGGTGTACATACAGTGGTATTTGGGACACAATTGTTGGAAATCGAAGAATCTGAAGTTTGTTTTTTTAAACCACCATTTTTTTTCTACTCTTCAGAAGTAGATCTTTGTGGGGGAATAATAATTTGGGGTTTTATGGAGGCTATCAAGACATGGCACAGCAAACTGTAAAATAAATCTAACTCAATGGACAATACTATTAAATGTATACATGTATGTAAAACTTTTCTGTTCCACATTTTCCCTTTAGTTTGAAAAATGGCTTTGTACTGTATATATTTTAGCCCAGTAAGCCTCCACAGCATGGTATATGATGTATGATATAACAGAATACTGTACTAAATGCAGTTTACTGGGTTTTTTAATCATACGAACTAAAACGTGTTAATTGTGAGGTGTGCTTTTATCATCATGTCAATTGTATTGCACAATTGGTTATACTTATGACCTGCTAGTCAGAGATTCTGGCGTTGATGGCCAGTGCATTTCTTATTTAACTGTTTACTACATTCTATATGGTGTTTATGTGATTCACACTTGAAAAACTACATCAGTAGTTATTCATTAACATAACAAAATAAAATGAAATTTTTATTTTATTTTTTTCAATTAACTACATTGTCCAGCTCTGTCTTACTTTCAATGTATCTTCCTCCAGGTCAACTCAAGAAATAGACATTTGAGTGCTTGCCCTGTTCTAGGCAGGATGATCCTAACACCTTTACCCAAACAGCGTAGGCAATTTCAGCTATTGATAAAACGTGTGAGACTTGGAGCTGCTCGGCTCTTTGCTAATTTGCTGATCTGCCTGACTCCCTGCTAGAATATATATTGTTTGCTATTATGGTATCTGGTATTCAACTTCATAGCATCACTTTTTAAAATCCTTTATTATTTTATGTTCATTTTAAAGAAAGCTAAAGTTTAGAAGATATCATCATTAAGCAATTTCTTTTTTGGCTTTGCTGAATCCTCTAATGCCTTATTGCATTTAACAAGTTGACCTGTTCAAAGTTCACGTCGGTTATATTGAAATATGAAATATGTATTATATTGCAAAGACTTGTTCTAGTATTTTAATCACCAATACAAGAACTATGTAATGGAATGCTTTAAAGTTGAAATGAGTCCAAAAGGTTAAGGAGTGTTTTTCTGTGTGCTATATGTATTTCTCCACTTTATTTTTTTTCTTAAATGGTAGCTGCAGAATGAATGGTACATTTACTTTTAGTAGATGTTGTCTGTTGCTTTGGTTGTTGTTTTGTTTTAATCAACAGAGCACAGAGGCAAATATACACTCTGAGATGTAACTTTGATAAGCTTATCAGTATGTATCTGTTTATTTTAAGTTTCCTTTTTTTTAATGCCGTAAGTGATTTATTTTGCAAAGTTAGAATCTAAAGCAAATTCTCAGGCTGAACTACTTCTTGGGCCTCCCTGGAGGAGTTTTTCATGGAATGTCTCAACGGTTTGCCAGCTAGTATTTCCAAAGAGATTCTTGCCTGAGAAAGGAGCATATCTATTCTAATGAAAGTAGGAATTAAAAAGAGAGAGTTTAAATCTGATCTGCGATGGAACTATCCTGAAGCCACAGGCACCACACAGCATCCATAGCCTTTGACTGTTGCCGGAGAAATAGACTATGCAAGGCCAGGTTGCCGTTGCCTTGGGGAACAGTTGAGGAGATGATCTAGTAAAAAATGGTATATGCACGTCTCCCATTATTTACTAAGTTTTAAGGAAGCTCTTATTTTATGTTTCTAGAAAAGCAAATCTTCAGTCTTCCCAGAAAAAGATGAGGAAGTCCATTTAGCCCTGAAATTGTAACTTAATCTTTCTACAAACCATCATTAAATGAAAATAGAGCATCACAATTTGGCAGTCTAATGGTTTTCTAGGAAACTTGATTGCAACAGTGGTTCAATGCTTGGTCACTAATCAGAAGGTCAGCATTTCAAACCCTGCAGCCACGCCACAGGAGAAAGCTGTGGCAACCTGCTTCCCTACAGAGTACAGCTTTGAGAACCCTCTGGGGCGGCTCTACTCTGTCTCCAGAGTCACTGTGACTCAGAATGAACTTGATGGCAGTTTTTATCATTCTTTGATGGTTTTGTCGAAAGGATATTACTGTAGTTTGTTGAATTTTTCATTGTTTTAGGTTGTTGAGATCTGTAAGAACACCGATCCCTAGTTGAGTAACACTGGTATTCAGAGTAAAGAACCTGATGTTAACATCAGAAACCCAGATAGTCTGTAATCCATGCTGTGACACAGAGAGTAGTCCTTCATTGTCTGTTATGCTTGCTTCTATTTGAGGGAGAGAGCAGGAGAAAGTTAAGCACATGTGAATTTTCAGTGTTTTTGTGCTAGTTGGAGTCTCGAACATCCATGTGCTGTTGACCCTGGAACTGCACAAGACTACTTAGATATTTTGTAATGCTGTGTGACACTAATCATCTGAGTGTGCGCAGTTCATGTCTCCAGTAAATTGTGTATCACAGTAAAGAGTGATCTCTTGCCGTCTCCCATATGTGTTAGTGCAGTACTATAACTTTAAATAACACCGTGGGACCCATACAAAGCGCTGCTGTGACCCTAGAAGTACTCCCCAGAAACAAGAGTAATGGCATTACAAGAAGAGGTGGACTTGCGTGATGTGTAGCGTAGATGGAGGTCTGCGGCTGGAGCTGCCTTCCGTTCACCTTTTCAAGAGGGGGGGCGGGATTTGTGTTGCTGTTGGAGCTCCACCAGCAGGTGTGAAAATCTTGCACTTTGGGCAAAGTACCTTTTTAAATCTCCTGTTGAAATACAGCATTTGTATGGGGACAGAATCTAATACACACGGCATAGAAAATGTGTTCATCGACCATCTATAATGTTATAGGTAAGGCTTCCAGGCAACAGTAGGCTATTAGTAGTTACAGGCAGATCAGTGCCCCTCGCTAACCCTTACACTGTGCAAAGGTCACCTGTCATGTGAGGGTAAATCTAAATGTATTGTTTTTTAACAATATTGCTCCAAAATCATTGAAGCCTTTATTACACTCAACAATTTCAAAAGGTAAGGCTCTTATTTCTCAACATATTTTCCATCTGGGCCTGTACACTTCTGAAGGCAGTATTTCCATCTCTAACCGCTCCATGAAAAATTCTGCACTCGATTTACAAAAAACACATGAAAATGTACAGCTTTGTCATTCTCGAAGGATTCAAATTGTGTTCCTTTGAAATGGCTCTTTGAGTTTGGGCAACAAAAAGAAGTTCAAGCTGTAGGCGAATGGGGTAAGGTTTCCCAAGGAAATTCTTATAGGACAGCCATGTTACCCTTGAATGAGCAAGTACATTGCGGTGGGAAAAAAATTCCTTGGCACAACTTTCCTGACCTTTTGCCCCACCAGTGTAGTATTCGGTTTTCTTAGAACATCTTTCTAATACAACCCCATGTCTTCTGGGAAAAGATAATCAAGATTACTCCTTTGGAATCCAAATAAATAAACAGATACCATCCAGAGCTTCTGTTTTGATTGGACCTTGTTCTCTGGAGTAGACAGGTAAATCTAGGACTCATGATTTTGTTCCATAAATCATCTTCATTAACTTTGATCTTGCTTAAAAGACTGACAGAAAGTTCAGTTCTTTGAGCTTGCTGCTGTTTGCCCATCGAGTGAGAGGCTTACTGAGGCTGAGATGTTGGCTTGAAATTGAACTTGCCAAAGTATATGAGACCTCATGGTAATGCTGCAGTTTCTCCCAACAGATTCTGGAATTCAGCCTCAGTTTGTTTCTTTATTCATCAAGTGGACAGTCTTCCCTCTCCTGGCTCATGTTGAGCATGTTGAATGTCTTCCCTACCTTCCTTAAAATTTTTGATCCATCTTTAAGATGTTGTTTTGTGTGGAGCTGAATTCCTGTGAACTTGTTAAAAAGCTTCAATGATTTGGAAAGATGCGCCCTTGGATTATGTTAAAAAGTTGATATTAGCCCAGACAGATAAGTCATTCTTTTACGTGGGACAAAAAGCTTTTTTTTTTTTTTTCCGGAAGCACCCTACTGAGACTAAGACTAGCGTGTTTCTGTGAGTACTCTTCTACAGCCGCCCACCGACGGCAGAGACATGCTTAAACACATCTTGTTTGGAATAAAAACTTGCATGTGTGACCTGGAACCTTACTAGCATACTTCTTACTTACTCTCAGATAATCTGAGCTTGTCCAATTTGTTATTTATTACTTCTAATTATCGGAACTTCCATAAAATGGTTTGTAGAATTGTACAGAATTTGAGAACATTAGACCTACAGGTTTCGGTAAGTGAAGCCAGGCTGAGCCATCCTCACTTGCTATGGCCAGATACTTCCTACTGGTAGAAAGTCGTGTGATTAGGGTTATTTTTTTATTGTTTTTATGTACTTTCATTATTTTGTATTGTGGAAATGTTCACATATACACAAACTACTATAATGAACTGCTTATATGAATTAACCTTAGCAGTTATGAAATAATATGCCAATCCACCTCTCCTGTTTTATGCTGTATTGTTTGAAAACATCTGAGACATCTGTCATTTCACCCCCAAATAGTTTAGTATTCTTCAGGTAATAAGAATTTTTTTAAATCTATAATCACTGTACTTGTGGGATTTTTCCCCCAAGACATTGTTATAAAGCCAAGAATGGTTCGTGTAATCTTAAAGTCATATAAAGTTGACTTTAGGTATGTATTGCAGAATCAACCTGCACCTGACTGGAGCACTGGAGGAGGTGGTATGTCAACATGTATGTGGCTAGTGCCTGTCCAGAGCAACCTTCAGCAGAACGGGCAGCCTGCCTGCCAGCCACCATGAACTAGTTTTAGGGGATTGGTGCCCATGTAGCTACTGGTTAAATAATTCTGAATATCACCCCTGCCAGTGCAGCACCACAAGGTCTACTTAATGTAAATCATCTCAGCATACCTGTGTTCTTTTACAAAGAATCTGTTTCCTCTTCCTTAAAAGATACAGCCTTGGAAACTCCATTCATGGGGCAGCTCTGCTGCATGCACCTTTGAACGCTTCTGCCAACCTGTGGGGAGACTGGGAGTTGAGCCCTCTCATCAGCTTCCTGAGACCACTGTGCATGCATGTTGTGGAGGACATTGTCATTACACTTTTGTAGGAAATTGAATGAAAATAAGTTGATGCTGTAGTAACCTCTAATTTTTTAATGTAAACTGTTGTTTTTATTTTTATGAAAAAAACGTCTAAATTTCTGAGAATTTTACATTCCAAAATATATCAATAATTATATATACTAAATACTAAGGGCTAACTATTATGCATGAAGGAAAAATGCTAAATTCTCCATGTTTTGTGGAAAGCCCTCAAATAACTTTGTATTGAATGGGAAATTGTAAGATGTGGTTCATTTTCATGGTAACTTATCCCATTATTCCCTTTTCCAGAAAGATCATTACATCAGTTTCTGTGGTCCTAACTATATGTACCTAGCTCTCGTATTAGCCCATTTCCTGTGGAAAATGGTGCTTTTTACAGGACATAGGCCATTCTCTGAATGACCCTTGCATCTCTGTTGTCTTTGTGCCTTTGCATGGACTGTGCTTCCCTCCCCTACAGTGCACCAGCCTGCTCCCCGAGTCTGTCAGGCTGAGGTCCTGGTATCCAACTAATCCCCATAAAGCCTCTCTACTAAGAAGCTATTCCTAATCACCCTCCCTAAACATACATAAGCAAGCACACTGCTCCCCGAGTTCATGCTCCGAACTTCTCTTTGGAGATTGATCACATTGATCTATGTAGGTCCGTGGAGCTCCTCTGTATCAAATGCCTGGCACATAGGAGGGGTTCAAATGTTTATGGGAAGGACAGATGATCACAGGAGCTGTTGTCTCCAAGTCTTTGTAAGCAGATTCAGTCTTCGACCTGGGGAAATGCTTGGTATTACCAGCCCATCTATCAACCTCAAGAAGCTTTTCTGCAGAATCTTCAAATGCTGTTCTTGCCGTCCTCAAACCTTTCCTCAGGAGGAAGGGTACTAACAGCCAGGGCAGAACATTCCATTTTTAATGTTTGCCACAGTACATAGCTGCCCAATGATGTTGATTCCAGGGTTGAGAGCTTTAAGTATTTAAGCTGCAGGGCTTGTTTGCTTCATCATTATTTTCAGGGAATCCCGTTTATATATTCTTAAATTGACTGCTTTCTACCCTTTATAACATGGCCTGTGGGCAAGCAAGTGCCCTGACAGCTACATGCGCTCCATCTCAGTATAATTTGCCAATGTAAAACTAGGAGGCTAAGGACTGTCAGAAGCAATTGATAAAACAGTCTCTAGAACGCTGCTTTGAAGACGCGGACATGTATCAGCGGTTCTACTGTTGTGTGATGAGCCAAATGATAAGGCATGAAATATATTAAATAATTCTATTAATACACAGGCGCATTCACAACTGACCAGGCCCTATGTAGGAGCAGAAACCAGACAACTCTCTAATTACAACTTGGAAACCTACTAAAACATTTTTAAAACCTTTTCAAAGGGGTACAGAAATGGCAAAAAAAAAATAACTTTTAAGTACCCAAATTTTAAAGTTAAACTATTTCATCTAAAAGTTGTAAATTTTAATACTCTATTCAGGTTGTTTATACTTATTTTTACCTGCTCCTCCAAACTGTAACTGTATCTGAGCAATGAGAATTATACTTTCATATCCAGAAAAACCCTGTCCAGAGAATCTTTATAGCCGCCAAGTGCATCTTCTACTTTTCACCGTTTCTGACTTCTCTTTGAAGTATAGACTTTACATTTTAAAGGAGAGCTGGCTAAACAGTTTTTTCGTTTTTAGCAAGCACCTCATCTGCCTGCTGTCGATTGAAATGTCTGTAATCAAACTCGGACGGCACATGACTTTTTTCGAGCTGAAAATACTCTCGCCTTATATCACATCAAATCTTCGAGACAGCGCTGGAGGGATACACAAAGTGGGTGTCACACTTCATGCCCTGGTGCAGCTGGGGGCCGAGAGGTACAGAGACCCCGCACCAGGCAGAAACAGGCTGTGTAGACCTAGTGCTTGGCCTTCCATTTAGCAGAAGCGTTGTCCTCAGAGTTTATTAGGAAATATCAAATATGTTTTATTGGAGTTTTTAAATCTAAAAAGGGTTCTAATTTTAACTGGTAAGAGGTTTTCTCCATTTTTATATTACCTGTAGTACTGAGCTACTAGAAGTGGGAATCTGTTGATTCCATCACAGCAAAACCGTGTTTTGTCTTAAGTTACTGGTTTAATAGCGCTTTTTTTAAAATCAGTCTTTGGAAATGGAAAACATTACAATTTTAAGGTGCATGAATGCAAGTGCATGCTAATTTGTTTACAGAATGCTTGTCAGAGATTTGTCTATTGTATGTAAAGCTGCCCAGTCCTGAAGTTGTTTGTGAGTTAGCATTTCTTTTGTGAAGATAAGGATTTGCTGTGAGTGTGCTGATGGCTAGAAACAGTGGGGAGGCTGTTCCCCCACAGGCCATGTCTAATGTGTGTCACCAACTTCCTGGACTGTAAGATGCCAATAAACTGTTGAACCAGGTCAGCCCACCTGTGCTGCTGCTCATCTCGAAGTACTTGACGTAGCCCTAAGCAAGAGTAGAAGTCACCATTTACCACAAAGTTTCCCATTTACCCGGAACTAGCTGAGTATTTGTCTCTGCTCGTCCCCCTTTCCTCTGTTTCCAGGACTACCTTAAGCTGTAGCTAATCTGGTGCTTTGGATTTTTACCTTTTGTAGCTAACATTTTGGGGAAGACATTTAGCAGCCTGGTTTTCCGTTCAGATGTTTTACCTTGACTGTGAGGTTTGTTTCTACAGGATGTCAGACATCCACGAGAGCAGCTGAGACTGACTGAAGCCACCGCGTGGAGAGAGAGCAGCTGAGCCAGCTCGCTGCATGCTCCTCCCCTGAGAGGAGAAGGCTGCTCTTAGAGCCCCCCCCCCCCATCCCCCCTGCAGGAAGAGCTAGTCTCTGAGGCTATCCACAGGAAGTGAGAGCTGGGTTTGCAGCTTCCACGATGCCTCGGGAAACAGAACTTCAAGACACAGTTATACTTCACGTGGTGCCCTTTGATCCAAAGATAGAGTAGAACAGTGGAAATTATAAGAACTTGGAATTTTCCCTAAGTATCACTTCACCTTTCTTAAGAACTGAATGGCAGGCAGCTCTAATTTGTTGTCTGAAAATGGGGCCAAAAATAAGTTTGTTTGTTTGTTTTTAAGTTACTGTACAATAAATAAGGAGCCCTGATGGCATCGAGGGTTCTATTAGACTGCTAACCAGGAGGTCAGATATTTGAGCACACCAGCCCTCTGCAAAAGAAAGACACGGTTTTCTGCTCCCGTAAAGATTTACAGCTTCGGAAACCCACAGATGTTACACTCTGCCTCGTACGGTTACCATGAGTCATAACCGACTATTGAATTTTGTACTGTAAACAGATTCAAATATGTTCTGAAACACAAAGTGAATCCGTCAGAGTTCAAGCTTCTTTATTATTAAAATGTTGTAAGGTTTCACTTTTCCTATTTTTTCCTGTAGCTCTCTTGACCTCTCTCCACCATTGAGTGCCGTTCTTCGGAACGCAATACCCAATACAATGTTCTGAATCAGTGCCCCAGGTAACCCCAGTAACAGGCCAACATACCAAGAAAAGACATTGTTGGGCTGTATAATGAAACAGCACCACTGGCAGCTGCTGCTGCACACTGCCCACCGCTGGTAACCACCCTTGTTCCCTCCTTGCCACAGCCACTGACTGCTACATGCCCATTTGTTTCATCAGCCCCAGCCTATATATGCACTCTGCCAGCACGAGCTCCCAGGCCACCCTGCGCCCTGCCCTTCATGAGGTGGGTCACCTACACCTGCTGCAAGCCTGAGCTGAGGTTTGATATAAAACAGCACTTTGTTTAAAACATTTTTTATTGCTTTTCTTTCTATTTCCTCATTTTCTCTCTCCTTCCTTCCTCTTTCTCTTATGTGGTTTTTATCAATCCTCAACTACCCTCACATGACCCAACCTCCCACCTGTCCCTAACAGAGCATCACGTTGCTGCAGAGATAACGGTCCATTAGAAGTCACCAAGGAAAATTGGCACCAACAAGTGAACAGTACCCAAATCCAAAGGACCATTCTGAAGATAAAAAACTCAGGAATTAGCAGGGGAAAAATCCGAAGAGTGGTGTTCTGTTTTGTTACGAGATGGTTCAACTTCTCCACCTGTGCACAGAGACGCTCAAGAGGAATTTTTCTGAGGAAGAAGCTTGGAGTCAGCCTCACTTCTGAGACATTTGACATGAGTTATTCACTGAACTCTATAAAAAAATATGTCCTAAAATGTTAACTGCGTAATTTGAAGAAGAAAAATGTAGGTCTTCAAAATATTTATGAAAATGTCTATGAAGTCTTGCGTTTTCGACACCCAAAGTTACCCTCGCATCTTCGATATATGTACCTTTTCCATTTTACTTTTTGTTGTCCACTCCTCTAAGCTGTGTTTTGACTTTGTAGTATCCAACTTGTAATTGTATGTATTGCACAACCTCCTAAACCAAAAAGAAAAACTCACTGCCATCTAATTGATTCTAACTCACAGTGACTCTATACACAGAGAAGAGCTGCCCCTTTGGGTTCCCAAACCTTTAAATATTTTAAAGACTGCACAGGGACTGGTAGATTGGAACCACTCACCATATGATTAATAGCTCTCGAAATCCCTTAATGCCTAATTATTTTTCAAGTATTCCTTAACTTTTTTGTCTTAGCTTGTAATGTGTGATTTGAGTTCTCATATTTAAACTTAGGATGATAAATCAGTGAGTGTTAACAGCTGAAAATACAGTGGAACGCCACGTTAGGATGAAGACAAACCACTCGATGCACATGATAGGAACAGTTAACTAAGAGCAAGGGGGAAAGCATAAGAATTATGTGAGACGGTATCAAGAGGAACAAATTGTGTCTTACTGGGATTCCAGAATAAGAAAGTCGGGGAGGGAGGGAGGCGGAAATCACAGGAAAAATAGTGTAAGGAATCCTGGTTGAAAACTTTCCTAACTCCATGAAAGAGGAGAAATAACTACTCAAGAACCCGAGAGAACACCAAACAGCATGGACCCCAAAATAAAAACATTGCAAAATATTTTCAAATTTCCCAGTGTAAAAAATAAGGGAATCCTGTGAAAAGCCAAAGGAAAAGGACCACTCATCTTCAAAGGAAAACCTGTACAAATAAGCTCAAGTTTTTTTTCAGCAGAAAGCATGCAGGCAAAAAAGACAATAGAGTAACATATATAAAACCCTGAAAGAAAATAAAGTGCCAACCAATAATCTTATCTAGTAAATCATCCCTCAAGGGAAAATTAAGGGTATTTCCAGACAAGGAGAAATTTGTCAAACAGATCAGCATTAAAAATAAAAATGGGGGAGGGGGGTTAAAAGGGAGCTGATGTCAAGGAGTTCAGGAAGGAAAATGTTTTGAAATGGATTTGTGATAGCAATTGTAAGATACTGCTTGATGAGATTAAACTATGAAATTATGTATTAGCTCCCAATGAAATGGTTTTGAAAAAAATACTGGGAGCACTTAGTGGTAGCAATTGTAAAATACTGCTAGATGTGATTAAACTATAGAATGTGTATCCATTACCTCCCAATAAAATGGTTTTGAAAGAAAACACGAATGGGAGCACTTTGGACAGCTGGTCAACAATAGCAGCAGAAAAATCTAACGTCAGTATATAAGACAACAGCTGGAAACCAGTACTACTTTTAAAAGTTTAGAATAAAAATTATAAGACCAAAAACTGGGAACCAGAGAAGACAGATACCCAAAAAATAGAAAATTGTAGATACAAAACATTCAAACAGATAAAGTAGTTCACAAAAGAAAAGGACTTAATTTTAAATATGGGCATAAAATAACAGATAAAAGGTAACCTCAAAGAAACATGGAAAAAACACATCACAATAGAGGAACACAAAAAAGATAGTAAAAAGTTGCAACAAAGGAAAAAATTAACAAGAAAATCCTCCAACCACTCAGCACAGAAATGCAGGAAGAAAACAAAGTATCACAGCACAGCAAGATGACAGCAACAAACAGTACACCACCTAACAACAGTCTAGTATGTGTGGTTTCCTAGAGCGCACGGAACATTCCATCGAATAGAGTGTAAAAACACATGCCATAATTTTAAAATACATTTCATAATCCACTTCCTCAGACCTTAATGCTGTGAAATTAGAAAGTAACAACGGGAAGAACAAGGTTCTGTGGGGATCAGCCCACAACCGGATGGATCCTAAGGAGAGGTGCAACTGAAAGGGAAAACAGACCACGGACAAGGCACGCATGGGTTCATCTCTCCCATGGAGTTAGGAGCCATAGAATAGACTCTCCCAACAGGTGTGTGTGTGTCATTCATGGGCTCATTGGGGGCGAAACCTAGTGCTAGCACTGGGGGCAGGCAGAAGACAGTTGACTGTTGCTGTGTGAGGAGAACAATAGAAACGTCTGCTCCTACAGATAAGGGCTAAGCCGTGCTGGCTGCATAGTAATCAACCATGTGCTTGTAAGCGGTATCATTAAGGCAGCACTGTTGTGCGGATAATTTTTAAGAGAACTTGACAGACTTCTCCAACTCACAAATACAAAGGCCTACCTCGACCAGACTCCTGGCCTCCCAGACTTCTTAATTATGAGTATAGAGAATTTGTACACATACACTCTCTTCCCATTCCTCAGTTTTCCACATTCCCCCCTTTTATATTTTAAATTCAAAAGGGCTACAAAGGCGACATGGCTCTTTTCTATGGGACTAACCTCTAGAAACAGCAGGCAAATGCAGACACAATAACGACAAGGAGCAGTACAGTCACACTAGAACCTAAACTATGCAAAATACTTTAGATGAAAATTTCTTTTTTAGCTGATTGAAATGTCTAATGAGACATTTCCTTAAACCCCAGCAGGTGATTTCTAATTAAAGTCCAATGTGAGGTTACACAAAAATATAATGTTCCAGTTCATTTTAAGCACCAATGATGTAAGTCCATATTCTGATCTTGTAGCAAATGAGCAGTCTGTTGAGTCCAGTCACTTTTGCTTAAGAAGTTCCGTGATGACGCATTTGGATTGCTTCTCAGGCAACATTAACGATGGGGGAGATTTATGTTATAGTTTCCAGAAAGGCAACAATTGCCATTCTCATAAATCTGGTGGTTTTTTATGTTTTGGGTCATTTTAGCAAAAGGAAAGAGGTCTTTGGCTGTCTTCCCAGCCCCGACGTTATGCGCCATATTCTACACCAAGCAGTCTGCCTGCATTTCCTCTGCCTCCTAAAATACAAAGCAGATAGACTCGCCTGAAGGCGATTAATAACCCGGGATCCCAAATGCCGTTCTTCTTGTTCCACCAAATTGTCAACAGATCACCTTTTTCTGGCAGGGTGGAAAGGTATTTACCCACCCTATTTTTGTCAGTTTTAGGAAGGGAAGGGGAAAAAATGAGTTTAAAAGACTAAATGACGTTTGTTAT